CACTTTTAGGAGGCAAGGCTAGATGATATTCAATGCTATCGTTAGGTCTACTCATCCCATTGTAGAAGAAGTCAACTATCAATCCTTAAATCACCCTAAGTGAACTAGGGTGACTAGGCTCTTAAGAATTAGTGATAGTCTCAAAAATTTCTTAACCTGATGCCGAATTTCAAAATAACCATTTATAAATCTGACCATTATTTGTTATGTAAATCGCGACAACCGATTATTGTTAATATACAATAAGCATTTTTGCCTACATCAAATTATACTTGCGAAAAAATCTCATGATTTTCATCCTTACCGTACAAATAATGCAATATTCGTGTCCCTATCTTTAACCCCAGAATAGCCAGTATTGATAGCGTCATATTATAAATATCCGATGCAGTTAAAATAAGTGAAACTAGATAAATCTGAAACTACAGAATAGACATGAAGGTCGTTATCAAGAGTCGATGATGGCCAAAGTAAACTACGTTAACAGTCCATATGGGGAAAACACCAGGAAGCGGAAGATCAGGGAAGCTGTAGATATCCTATTTCAAAGAAACCTGATGAATAGAAGATTAGAAGAGGGAAAGGTCAGCGATAACTTTTTGCAATGCCTGGGTAGACTTGGAAATTCAGCGAATACGTCAAAAAGAAGACACTTGGACCCAGGACAAATGTCCAACAACAGGAAGAGACATCACCAATAAGAGGCTCATGATGGACAAAGAGAAGTCAGGTAAAGGCGGTTACGGTGAGAGGGATCAAATCTGGAATCGGCCAAAAGATTTTGGCTCGAACGGGTCTACCTGTGAGACGTATGATATGAAATTAAAAGCTAAAGTTATAAGTGGACCAGATATAGGTCACCAGGGTGCGTGCGTATTTTTCGTGTCTGGACAAGAAGGGAAGGCAACTGGTGACAAGCTTGACCACATGAGATGCCAGCCAAGACAGATGAACATCATCATAGCACCCTAGGGTTAGATCGGAGTGCCAACTTGAGAAACAAGAGGAGTACACTTTTCGCGATTCATGAGAAAAAGGGGAAGCGGTGCACTTTAACACCAGCGGTTATGACTTAAGCCGGACACAGGGCCCCAAAAGATAAGACACAATCTAAGATATGAAGAACAAGATGGTGTGGCCTTTTGTGTGGCCACACTCTCCTTTCGTTGTATAGAAGTTGTTTGACCTTGTTTTTGCAACTTGGTCATATTAGTAGAAAGACCTAGAAGAACGCACCTAGTCCGGAATCCATATAATGTATGATGATTTCCAGAGTCGTCTGGGAATGTATCATGTTAACCATCCAACTATGCAGATTATCATGCATACTATGGACTCCGGACTAAGTACGTTTCTCTAGATCTTACTACCAATATGACCCAGTAGCAAAACAAGGTAAAATATTTTCCATACGACGAAAGGAGACTGCGACGATACAAAAGGCCCCACCATCTTGGTCTTCATACCTTCGAGAAAAGAGGATTGCCTTCACTTGTCACTTTGACAAGTTGTAACTTTGTGCAAACGATGGTGCCTCTCACTGACGATGCCGGCGAAGAATTTTGGAATGTACCAAGTCAATGGTCCGAAGCTGGAAATGACGAATACTTTAGCAGAGGAAACAGGACTAGGCACGTTTCACAAGGTCTACTTGACGTTGCGACCAAGTTGCGAAAACAAGATCGAACCAACAATATAAAGCTAAAGGAAAATTCGACCAAACAGAAGGCCACACCAGCTTGGCATTTATATCTACAACATCGATAGAGTTATATTATGAATATACGATTATTTTTTAATTAGTGAAGCTTTCGATACATCTGAGACTACAGTTTGGACTTGAAGGCCTTTATCAATAAAGCTACACTAACAGTTCAAGTTTCACGATTCTATCAAAAGTTCGAAAGACAATTTTAACAGCTTTAGCTCATCCTTTCGGAAGCATTTCAGGCCGTTTTGGTTGCATTTTTTGTCCGATAGTATGCTAGTTCTAAAAACACTCGAAGACTTTTATAGGTTATTTGATAAACTCTAATAAATTATGAAACAATCTGTCTAAAACTTGTTATTTAATGAATTCATAGACCATTTTAAAAGAACATTGTATAGGCAAAACGAAGAAAAAAATTCTTTTTGGTAATATATTAGGTGGGAACATTTAGGCAAATTGTTTTGGAAGAATCAACAAATGATAACCTTTTAATTAACACTATAGGCCAGCATACCATTGTGAGGGAGGGAGATGATGAAGCTGAATTTGTCATATGTAGAATTTGTTCTGAATTCCAGTTATCGACTACAGCAAGTTCTTTGACCTCTGGAGGCTCTGGTCTTAATAGAGTACTATCATGACGAAGACTAGGAGAGGCCTGACTAGTAAGTAACAAGACAGGATGGTGTGGAGAGTGCAGACCAATGCTGCCTTGAGATAAAGAGGGGATAACGCCTAGCTTTTTCAGATGAGACGAAGAACATCGAATTTGTTGTTGATTTTGAATGTCAACCAATGGAGCATCAGCCTCTTCGCCAGCAAGTGCTAATCGGTAAATTGCAAGCAGCTGGTCGTCGTGATCCAACGAGGAATTAACGGAACTTGATAAGCATTGAACATTGTTGAGCAAAGACGGGACGTGCTTGCTCGCTGCAATGGACTTGCTTAAATTATCAAACTGATTAGGATGTAGAGATTCTTTTTCAGAAAGGAGGCCTGAAAGGCACGAGCCCGAAGGTTGACTGTCGGCGCTCAACCAGTCAGAAACACGAGAACATGGCACTTCACCTTCTAAGGAATCGTCATCAACAATAAAAAAAGATTTGAAAGTAGTTTTTTAATAATTATAATTAAGACCGTTCTAAACATCGTTTAAGAAGGGCAAGTGAATGGCGCATATAGTCACATTCTTCTGGAAAAAAGGTTTATCAACTTAGAAGTTGTTTTCGCAACTTGGTAATAATGGTAGGAAGACCTAGAGGAACGCACCTAGTCCGTAGTCCATAGTATGCATAATAATTTCTAGAGTCGGACAGTGGACATGATACATTCCCAGATATTCCGCCGGTATCATCAGTGAGCCTTGCCAATACAACAAATTGTCTCTGATGAATCTATATACAAGTAATTATTACTTATCTTCTTGCTGGTATTCTCTATATTCAATGTATTTCGTATTTGGTTGCATCTATAGAATGGATAAATTAATTACTTTATTTTTGCTAGAACAAATAGCACTAAGTTTAACTACCTCCTTATTGTTTCGACGATTCCTTTGGCTGATGTTGATGCCTAAATTCCTTAATTTCATATCATGTCGGGATCTATGGATCTTATCCATCCTGTCCGCCATATTCTGCAATTTGAGAAAGTCTTCTTGGGAAAACAGCAGAGAAAGGGGTTGTCTAGTCCCTTGTCTGGTAAAGAGGAATCCACCGTCGTCTTCTGGTGGAATCGATCTTCGAAGCTCTTCTCCAAGCAGTTTCACTCGAAATGGAAGTAAGCTTAACAATTATGAAACAAGATATTCCTCGAAATCCAACTTTTCTTCGCATAACTATTTATTATTTGAGTATTCAAATTGATTGTAAATCAAGCGTATATTTGCAGGGTAGATTTTCTGTTTTCTCAAACCCATGTATAATCTAGCAAAATAAAAAAGCCTTTGTATCATAATCTAGATTATCTATAAGAATTGCGTCTAGGATTTATTCTGATTATCATTTTTGGCAGTATTATTTCCATATTCCCTGGTATATCTTTCACTTCGCCTGAAAAATCTGGTGGAAGGGCTTCGTAAATTGGCCTCATCGTATATCGAAGGATATTGGATTAGTGATTGTTGGATTGTGTCTAGAAGGCCTCAGCCCCTTTTTCACACCCCGATGAATTCGTGCTACACATTTATACATAATTCTTCTCCTAAATGTTGTATTGTTAGTAGACGTCCAGACATATTTCCACTAATAGGAAACTGGAGCATCTATCAGTTGGTTTGGTTAAGACTAGACTCAAAGAAAGCATAGGCAAATTACATGACCTGATTAGGACCAAAACAAGGACTATACTATCCCTTTCTCGGCTATTTTCTCAAGAAGACTTTCTCAAATTGCAGAAAATGGCGGACGGTTTAAAGGATAGGATGGATAAGATCCATAGATCCCGAAATGATAAGAAATCAAGGAATTTAGGCATCAAAATCAGCCAAAGGAATCGTCGAAACAATAAGGAGGTAGTTAAACTTAGTATTATTTTTTCTAGCAAAAGTAAAGTCATTACTTTATCCAGTATATCTATAGATGCCAATGTTAAGCTCGTCTTTGAAAGGGGTTTAAACTTTACATTTCCAAATGAGCAAAATCAGTTAGGGATATATTGGTTGAGTTAATTAATTTACCGGACAAGCTGCCAGAAGAGGATAAGAATAGTATATAAAGAAAAGTGATTTCTCATTTTGATGAAGTAATTGTTGCAAAGAAATCGTATGACTTGAATAAAGTTTCTAGATATTTGCACCAAAATGATCTGTTTGTTTTAAAGGC